CACACAAACTTACACACACTTAAACACAATTAAACACACTTGCAAACACTTACGCACACTTACACATAGACTTGCCCCAAGTCGACCTCTYTTGTTTTCCCGGCGTTTTTTAATTCGAGCCGCGTTTTTTTAATTYGAGCGAGGCGATAATCTTGCGAGCGCAGCGAGCGAGCGACGAAGTCGCGMGWGGTCGACTTGTSGAACTTGCAGGATATTCATTTGCGTTTTTCGCCATTCACGAATTTGATACAGGAGTATCGGGTTTCGGGGGCGGAGCTAAAGGATTGTGGTTTTCATTTATTTGTTTCTTCATGTTATATCCGGAGCAGCAAAACATGGTTTATCAATAATAATGGTTGATGCTATAACTCCAACTAAAACTGTTGAAAGGATAGCGATATCTCCAGCGTCAAAACAAAAAATATGCTTTCTTTGCGCCAGTCAAGTGTCGAACAATGACTACAGACGGAAATTGTTCAATGGTCAGAGAAAAACCAAGAACTGTTTAAACTTGGAACTTCTGGTGGGGACAACATTTGGAAGCGACACTATCCCCACAAATATTATTTGCAGAAAGTGCGCAGACAAGAATGAAACACTGGTAAAAAAGATCGGAGATGTTAGAGCGATTATGGAAACTTCCTTCGACAAACTTGCTGGCGACCGGGGAAGTTTCCGATCACTTAAGAGGCTCTGTCGTGATGATGCTGACGACTCGACACGCTCTAATAAGCGTGCTCTTTTCCCATCTTCATCTAAACAGCCTACAGAAATTGGAATTTTAAGAACAAGAGATTCTTGGACTCAAAYGTCATCTGTTACTCCTGACGACGAAGAAACCAGTTCTGTCGAGGTTGGTACTGTAATCAAAATATGCTTTGATTTAAAGCGCGCGTATGCCTAGGCTCTACCGAGTTTTGTGTCTTAATTTCTTAAGGGATCGCCGYTTYTTTCTTWAAAAATTCAATCATTTCTCGAAGTCAATACCAAATAGCTGAAAGTATGGATGACATGCAAGGAAAAATATTCATTCCCTCTTAATATCATGCTCTTTCACTAGATTACCTTAAAAGGACTTTGTTAAAGTATGATACATGAGCCATTTTCTAGTAAACTCACWGTGAAATCAGATCTCTAGCCATTAATAGTAGATTTCAGGATAAGCAATTTTGCTACCCGTTTGAAATGATCTCCATTTCATTTTAACTTGTTCACTCAAGTCATTGTATACCAACGTATCTTTTTTATCTTTCAATATTTTAGGTCATTATCAACTTTCCAAAAAGTCCCTCTAGGAGGATAACTCTTCCTCG